CCTTGTTTCTTATTGGATCCCTTGATGGCTGGCCTGCCCCAGAATGGAGAAAGCTGGATGGGAGCTAGTTACCACCTGTCTGTCTCTTTTCACCTCTCTGAGCTGCGCTCTCTCGTCTACAGTCCTCTCTGGCTTATTCTCCCTGTCCTTGCAGGCACACACTTTTTCATCCTTTGCTATCATTTAGTTGGGTTCTCGGATACAGTGTTGAGTTCACAGTGGGGATTAACTGGAAGCACATCTCTGATTTCTTATTATAAATCCCACGAGACCTAGCACAGTGCCTGGTACCTAGCAGGCGCTGCATGGATGGATAAATAAACAAATGAAGGAATGACAAAGACACAATCCTCTATCCTCAAAAAGCTCACGGCCCAGTTGGGTGGAGGATGCAGGTTGGAGGGAAGGGAAAGTAAATGTGTAGAAAACCTTGCCAGAACTCAGTGTGGGGCGGGTGCCATAGGTGGCTGTGACATCAAGGCGCCTCTGGAACTCAGCAGAGGGCAAGTACATCAGCTGCACAGGCAGGGAGGGCTCCCTGGAGGAGATGGCCTGCTGATCAGGGTAAAACATGGAAAGGCCAAGAAGAGGAGAGAGGTGAATGGAGGGAATCACTGGACAAGTATATCTGGGCAGCCAAGTTCAGGGAGCAGGTGGGAAGGTGAGGGAGGAGGGGCTCTCAGACTGGGGCCAGACTCACCCCATCACTACGGGAACTGCCACAGCCTGGGTAGGGGCATGAGGAAGGCTGTGCCTCAGAGAGGCCAGGTGTGCAGAGGATAAGGGTGTCCTCCACATGAGAGGTGAAGGCTGAGGCAGTGGCCGGAGGGACCGTGCAGCAGGTGAGCAGCAGTGCAGTGAAGACCAGGACAGAGAAGTTAGGAGAGGAAGACCTGGAGGTAACTGTGGCCCCCTTACTGGGAAGAGTGCAGCCAGCAGGAACCTACAAGTGTCCCGCAGGGGGCGGTGGGGCTGGAGACCAAGATGGTGTTGCAAACACAGCAGGGGACACACCTTGAACTGGGTTTTCTTCCTGGTTTGGTCACTTACTAGCTGTGTGCTCTTAGGCTAGTGACTTACAGCCCCTAGGACTCAGTTTCTCCATCTATAAAATAAGGATAGTCTAGCCACACATCTCTCTACCTCCACGGTCTGCACCCCTGTCACCTCCAGCCTGACAAATGCAAAACATCCTCACTGGCCCCATTTCATTCCTTGACCCCAAGGTTGGCTTCATGATACACGAAATAAGTTCCACGCTCAGAAGGGCCCCAAGATTTCATTTTGCACTGGGCTTCACAGGTTGTTTAGATTAGGATTGACCCCTATCCACTCAAAGAAGAAGCCAGAGTTTCTCTCTCTGTCACATACACACACACACACACACACACACGCACACACACACCCCTGACCCTCTTCTCTACCTCTCTCCCCTGGCTTCCTCTGCTCCAGCCACACTGGCTTCCTGGCTCCTGCCCCCGCTTGCAGTGCCTCTTCCTGGCTTCCTCTTCCCACATCTACACACTGGCAAACCTACCTCCTCAAGTCTCTGCTCAAAAGACAGCTCGGCCAGGCCTTCCCTGACCCACTTCTTTAACACTGAAACCCCCAATACACCCCACCATTAATTCACTGCATTTTTTTTCTCTACCACACTACCATCTACCTTCTACTTGTTTTACTTTTAAAAAAAAATTTAGGCTGGGCATGGTGGCTCACACCTGTAATCCAAGCATTTTGAGAGGCCAGGGCAGGTGGATCACCTGAGGTCAGGAGTTCGAGACCAGCCTGACCAACATGGCAAAACCCTGTCTCTACTAAAAATACAAAATTAGCCAGGCATGATGGCACATGCCTGTAATCCCAGCTACTCTGGAGGCTGAGGCAGGAGAATTGCTTGAACCCAGGAGGTGGAGGTTGCAGTGAGCTGAGATTGAGCCACTGCACTCCAACCTGGGTGAAAAGAGCAAGACTCCGTCTCAAAAAATAAATAAAATAAAATAATAAAAAATAAAACATTTTTAGCTGTCTGCCAGTTAACAGCAAGGGTTTATATTGGTTTTGTTCCCTGATTAACTCCACTATCCAGATCTGTGCCTGGCCCGGAGAGGGAGCGCAGCCATGTGTGCAGAATTGAGTAATGTGGTGATGTCTTCCCAGAGCCTCTCGGCGGGGGAGGGGGGATTCCCCCCCCCCAGTGAGTGTGGCAGGCAGCCTGTACATCCAGCTTGACAGGTGAAGAAACAGGCCTGGAGCTGCAGGGAGGGCTGCCACACAAAACACAGGACCCCACTGAAATTTGAGTCGCACAGGATTAAATTCAAATGTGACTGGGCGTCTGGTATTTCTATTTGCTCTCTGGCCACCTTAGCTCTAGGGACTTGCCTGCAGTCACCTCCAATTCAGTCTAGACAATTCAGTCTAGACCCAGCCTCCCACCCCTGCCCCCACGCTCCCCATCTGCTCGAGGCTGCCCTTCCTGGCACTGCCTTGGGGACACTGTCACTGCCCCAGTCTGGGAAAGTGAACAGGCTTCTCGCCTTCTAGGCCTAATTTTATCTGCACCTGCAGGGGCTGGAAACGGCACCAGAAGAGCTCTGGGGACTGAGCGGGCCCATGCCTGCAAGTGGCCTCCTCAGGCCTCAGAACTTAGGGTCTGGGTTTCTGCCCTGGCCTTATCCAGGGGTGCAGACAGTTGGGGCACAGCTAGGTTAAGATAAGAGAGGTGTGAGGGAGAAAGCTTGAAGGGCCTTAAGGGTCCTCAGGGCTCAGGAGAGCCCCACAGCGTGTGGGACCCTCGTGGCCAGGTCTCACTATGTCTCACCTGATGGCTCCAGGTCTCACTATGTCTCACCTGATGGCTCCAGGTCTCACTATGTCTCACCTGATGGCTGCTGCAGCTTCCCGGGGGATTCCCCAGAATTGCAGGATCTCCCAGGGGATTCTCAACCCTGTGTGAGGAGTCAGAAACCTGTGCCTCAGTTTCCTCATCTGTGCAATCAAGGGATAATAATGGCACTTTCCCCACAAAGTTACTGGAGGATTGACTGAGTTGATACATATTCATGGTTATAACAGTGCCTGGCACATAATAAGGGCTTTGTATGTGTCTGCTGACATTGCTGTTACAGATGTTGTGATCTGAACCCCTGGTCTTGCCACCAGACTCCAAGCATTCCCTGCCCTCCCAGGTCTTCCCAGTCCCCTCTACTGTCTACAGCAGCCTCCAGGGCCTTCCTCGGGCAGAGATGGGGCCACGGGGAGTGGGATGCCCAGAGAACAAAATCCCTGACCACCAACCTGCCCAGATGCGGGGCCAGCTGCCAGGGGACAGTGTGTGGGCAGGCCAAGGATAGATAGCGGCTTCAGCCCCGCCAGCCCAGCTCAGCAGAAACCAGGGCCGACAGTAATGGGCTGGCAGCCCCCAGCTGCAACCAACTTCATTTTCTGCCACAATTAAATGATGCCCGCATTTGCTCACCCTCACTTATTCAATTACTTTAGCGGCCCTGAAGGACTCTCAAATAAACAGCCATAAATAACACGCGTGGCCGCCCCCCAGGCTATCATCCGTGCCCAGCAATCACAGCCCCAGCCCCGCACCTTCCTTCCAGCAGAGAGATGCTGCCTTGCGCCTCCCCATTCCCCAAGTTAATCCTCCCCAGCTCCCACCACCCACGTCTGAAAGTCCAACCCCCAGCAGGAGAGTCTGCACATCTGGGTCCCCACCTGGCTCTCCCCCTGCCCAGCTGGGTGTATCTGGGGGGCCACTCCCTCTGGGGCTTCCATGTCCTCATCTGTGGAATCCCTGTTATTAAAAATAATAGGCTGCCAGGCATGGTGGCTCACGCCTGTAATCCCAGCACTTTGGGAGGCCGAGGTGGGCGGATCACGAGGTCAGGAGATCGAGACCATCCTGGCTAACACGGTGAAACCCTGTCTCTACTAAAAAATACAAAAAATTAGCCGGGCATGGTGGCAGGTGCCTGTAGTCTACTCGGGAGGCTGAGGCAGGAGAATGGCATGAACCTGGGAGGCGGAGCTTGCAGTGAGCTAAGATCCCGCCACTGCACTCCAGCCTGGGTGACAGAGCAAGACTCTGTCTCAAAAAATAATAGGCCAAGCATGGTGGCTCATGCCTGTAATCCCAGCACTTTGGGAGGCCAGGGCAGGGCAATCCCATGTGGAATGAGGAAAAGTCCATGTGAGCTATAAAGTGTTGTCTTGGCAAGGGGCTGCAGTCCTGGCTTCAGTTGAAATGGGCACCCCTGGAGAGGGAGGAGAGAAGAGGTATCCTTCTACCTGCCTCCATCCCCACTTCCACCCAGCCACCTTGAAGCCTTCCAGAAATGCCATGCTCTTCAGGCCTCTGGGCCTTTGTGGACACTGTCCCCCTTGCTGTTCCCTTCATTCATTTCTCTGCTTGGAGATTACTACAGGAGTCCTTCAAGGCCCAGCTTGCATGCCCTCTCTCCTAGGAGGCCTGCACCTCACCCCCATGGCAAGTAGATGAATCTCTCCTACCTTCTGCTCCCACAGCAATTTACGTCCTGGATTTGGGGGACAATGCCAGATTCAAATATTCTGAGCCACAACATAACCATGTCAAGACATGAATCTAAAATTAGAGTTAGACAGTATGACGACATCATTTCCACTTCCAGAGACCAAGCCCCATGTTATTAAAAATCATAGGCCAAGCATGGTGGCTCATGCCTGTAATCCCAGAACTTTGGGAGGCCAGGGCAGGAGGATCTCTTGAGCCCAGGAGTTCCAGACCAGCCTAGGCAACGCAGTGATACCCCCAACTCTACAAAAAAATCTACAATGGTGCACACTCACAGTCTTATTTCCTTAGATGGCCGAGGCAGGAAGATCACTCGAGCCCTGCAGTGAGCCATGACTGCGCCACTGCAATCCACCCTGGGCAACAGAACATGACCTTATCTCTAAAATATAAAAAAATTTAAAAATAACAATATTCAAGATTTGGGGGAACCTTGTGTGATACACTGTGCTAAATGCTTTTTACTTGCATTATATCACTGAAACATCACAACAATCCAAAGAAAATTATCCTCATTTTACAGATCAGGAAACTGAGGCCCAGTGAGGTTAAGATGCCCATCCGCAGTCACATCACCAGGAAATGGCAGAGTGAAGAATAGAGCCCAGGTGAGTCCACATCCACAGTCCAGCCTCGATTCCGTGCAGCAGAAAGAACTGGCCATTCTGGGACTGGGGTTTAGTTCTGGCTCATCCACTAGCCATCCTGCAACCCCAGGCAGGGCCTCTCACCTCTTTACAGCCTAACTTTGTCTCTCCTCTCCTGGAAAATGAAAAGACTATTATCAGGTGGCCTCTGAAGGCCCCTCCAGCTCTGGTGTTCCAGGATTTTCTTTCTTTCTCTAAAGGACTGCTCTGAGTGGAGCCAACAAAGCAGTCAAACCAACAAGAGTGGCGGGCTCAGGCATGCCCTGGGGAGACGCTCAGGGCAGGGTCCTCCCAGTCTCCCCCTCCTGCCTGGAAGGCAGGTGGCAGCCTGTTCTCTTCAGGAAAGCAGCCCTCCACCCTAGAGAGGGCAGCAAAAATTTCTCCAAGGACCAGTGGGCAGGGCGGGGCCCCTGCTGGCCACCTTCCTCCTGCAGCCCTTGATGTCAGCCACCGTGAAGGCCTCATAAACGTTACATGCAGATTGTCTGTGGGACAAAGGAGATGCAGGCTGCCATATCAGTGGCGTGTAATTGGCTTCTCAATGTCACACATTGGCTCTTGCGTGGATTAAAAGTCCACAAGAACCTGAATCCTGGCCTGGGAGGTGGCAGCCCTGGGTCCTCTGGGTCCCAGCTCCCCGTGTGGCCCTCAGCAGGGATATCTTCTCCCTGGGCCTCAGCCAGATGTGGTGTGGTCTGGGGGATGTGGATGAATGACCCAGCACTGCTGGGAGAGCTAGCCCAGTGCCACATCCCCAGCCTGTGGCCACGTGCAGAGGCAGCCATCTCCTCCCCTCCTCCCAGCCTTCCCCAGGCCCAAATAACGGCCCGGGCTTGGCTGGGGAAGTGGAAGAGTGACCTGCGCCTTCCCCGCTGAGTAGAGATGTGTCTTTGCACCAAGGTGTGACTGAGGGCTGCCTGATAATGAATCCGGGTTAGGAGTGGGGGCCCCAGATTCAAATCGTGGCTTGGCCACTCTGTTTCCTCCACTGTGAAATGAGGGGAATGATGGCCCCTCCCTCACAGGGCTATTGGGAGGACCCAATGAGATAAAGTATGTGAAGAGCTCAGGGCAGGGCCAGCCCTCTGCCCCCTAACCTGCTTCTACTGATCATGGCCATAGGGTGGGCATGATGGCTCCCCTCAGCACCTCCCATTCCCAGGGCCACACACACACACACACACACACACACACACACACACACACACGGCCTGCAGAGGTTGTCTGTCCCTGAGGACCTGAGTGGTAACACCCCTGCTGCTTCCTAGTCAGTGGGGCCGTCTGCCTTCCAGAGAGTTTATCACCTCCCAGATTCCCGGCTGTAGTGGTCTGGGCCGGCCCTCCTACCCCAGTCTCTTCAGCTGTTTGGGAGCCCGACAGGGCAGGCTCTGATGCAGAGCCCTGAACTGGATCCAACACGCAGGCTGGAAGCTCCCGGGTGGGGCTGGGAGCTGGGGGCCAGGTCAGGCCAGCAGGGATGTGATGCTAGGGAAGCCATAAGCCGCCCAGCCTCAAGGTCCCCCTTGCTGTGAAGGGCTGGACACTGACCTCTCTCAGGGCATGCTCCAACCTGCACTTTCTAGGGAGTGAGGCGGCGGGGAGGAGAAGGAAGAGGAAGGTGCCAAAAGCTGGGGTGCAGTGACAGGGGAGCCCAGCATGGGAGGAGGGGCTTTTACTGGAACCTGGGCAGGTCTGTAGCCGCCACCCATGTTTACACTGTGGGAAGGGGTGATGACATATCCTAGAATGAGGTGGAGGTTGTTGTCTCTAGGGCAGGAACACTGGGTCATGGGAGCAGGGACGGGGGCAGCTGTTGAGGAGGGATGATGCCACAGAGCCACAGCAACCGAGCCAAAGGCCCCCATCAACGGGTCAGGGAGAGGAAAGGAAACCGCTGTTGTGCAAGCCAGAGCATGGCGAACCCGGGAGGGAAAGCCAGAGACCCAGAATGTGTCCACGTGTTTATCCACTCATTCATTCATTCACCAAACAAGTATTGGAAGGCTGGCGCTGGGTTACATGCTGAGGACATAGCGTTGAGCAAAATGAGCCAAGTCACTGTCCCCAAGGAGGAGATACAGGCAAGGAGCAAGTCACACACATAAATATGCAACTACAGCTGGCATAAGCACTTCTAAAAAAAGGGACTAGATGGTAGACTGTTTTAGAAAGGGCCAGGAGGGCTTCCCGGAGGTGGTGACACTGGAGCTGGAGCTTGCATCTGAAGGATGAAGAGGAGTTAGCCAGGTGTGAGGTGGGGCTGAGGAGGTGGGCAGGGGCTGAACACTGGGGGTGAAATTTGGACTTTATTCTAAGGATGGAGCCACTGACAAGTATTAAGCAGCAAAGTGACATGACTTGAATTGTTTCTAAACATCACCCTGGGGAGAATGGCTTGTAGGAGCCATTACAATTACAAAGGAGCAGGCTGTAAAGAGATGTGGGAGAACATGAGGAGCTACTGAAGTCATCCACGACCACAAGGTGGGCCAGGCCAGGGCCACAGAGATGGAGAAAAGGGGACCAATTCGAGAAACGTATGGGGCATGAAATCCACAGGACATAGTGAGGGATGAACAGCCAGGGAAGGCAGCAGTGAAGGGGGAAGTCCTCAAAGGTCAGTCCAGGCTGGGGAGGGAGAGGCCAACGGGGAGCTGGCCAGAGAGAGACCTGCCCACCAAATAGTGAGTGCATGCCTATGAGCCCCAGGCGTTTTCTGCCTCCAAATGGTGGCATCTATGGGCTGGCCTAGGATGCTCCTAGTCCACAGAAGAGAGAGTACCACGCTGGTCAGGACTGATTTCCGGAAGCCAGGACCAGAGGGTAGGCAGGGAGCAAAGTGGGTCCCAGACATGGCTATGGAAAGCGTAGAGCAGCAGGCATCTTGGAAGGGAAGTTGAGCTTTGGGGAAATGACCATGGAGAGAAGTTGGCTGAAGTCGGAAAACAGAAATAAAGTGCCCTATATGATTGCATAAGGAAAGTACCAGATCATGGATTCTGGACGGCAGGCCCCTGTGTGTGTTTACTGCTGTACGTCTCAGGTCTCATATTAGGGGCTCGAAAATGTTGTTACATAAATAGAAGAATAAGAAGTCAATATGGAACCTTGCTCTTTACAACAGCAGCAAAACAAACACAGAAAGCAGGTGGTGGAAAGTGGACAGGCCCTCCTGGAGACCTGGGGGCCAGGGCACTCACTGGCCATCTTGCTCAAGTGGGAAGTCCTTCCCCCTCTAGAACCTGAAGGGCCTCCTGCTCATCCCTGTGGAGGTTCTGGGGTTCCCAGAATAGGGATGTGTGTGAGTCCAGCCTGAGAGGGAGAGGGGAGGTGGGGCAGGGCTGGGGGGAAAGGAGGTCATACCCTCTTCCAGGGCCAGGTAACCGGAGCCCAGCACACAGCTGGGCAGGGGGAGGGACAGAGCACGCAGGAGGCCATGTGCCTTCCCTGGTGAAATGTGATCAGTCAGTCACTCTGCAGGGGGAGTCATGGGGCAGGGAGGGGAGCATGGGACCCCCACCCCACTTTAAACCAGGCTTCAGGGCACCCCAGGAATTCCTGTTATGTCTGCGGGGCTCTGCCCTCTCTGGGCATGGGGAGGCCCACATCCATCCACACAGTGGAGATGGGAGAGGAGCTCAGCCACCCAAGGGCAGCTGGGCAGGTAGGTACCCCCACACGGGCTGCAGCCTCTCCATCACCCCTTGTTCTTTTTTTTTTTTTTTTTGGAGACAGGGTCTCCCTGTGGTGCCCAGGCTGGAGTGCAGTGGCGTGACCAATTATGACTGACTGCAGCCTCAGCCTTCTGAGCTCAAGCATTCCTCCTGCCTCCGCCTCTGCCTCTCAAAATGCTAGGATTACAGGTGTGAGCCACCGTGCCCAGCCATCCCTTGTTCTCTTGCTGCTAACACATCTGCTGAGCAGCTCCTGCTGTGCCAAGCGTTGGAGCAGGTAAAGAGGGCACTGAACAGACAATGGCTGGCGGGCAAGGGCCAGGAGAGTGGGTTCCAGTCACCTTCCCCATCTTGCCTCTGTGAAATGAGCAGTGAGGGAGAAGGGGCCATCCTGGAACATGTTCTCCATGGACACGTGGAAATGGAGAAAGTACTGCACCAACAGATCTGGGGGGACCAGGAGATGGGTAAGGGGGTCTTGGGGGATGAGTCCGAGAGAGGCTGAACCAGACCAGTGGGCGACCTGGGCCTGAGCGAAGCAGGCAGTGTCTCTGGCCAGAGAAGAGGCTGAGCCCCTCATCCACACATGGAGCGGCCCAGGAAAGGCAGGTGGGGCACCAGTGCCCAGGGGAACTTTAGCCAGATGTCCAGGGTAGCCTGATCTGCCTAATACTGGTCCAGGGTTACTTGGACCTGAAGCCTGTCCCCTGATGAACCCTGTCCTTTGCCCCCACCCCCTCTCTCATGGTCCACCAGCCTGATTCCTCAACATCTCAGGAACTCGCCCTCTCCTTCCCCACACTGCCCCCTCTCCCAACCAGGCTAGGACTTTCCTGGAGGACAGCATCTGTCTGCTCACCTTGGAGAGTTTTAGACACAAGCCTGAGCCGACTCTTCCTGGCATAAAGCACCTAAATTCCTCCCAGAGGCTGAGGACAGAGGGTGGTGAGGCCACCTTGTCCCTACCCCATCTCTCCCCAGTCCCACTCCCTATAGCTTCCACCTCCCTGCCCCTCCTCCTGCCTGTCTCTGGGCCTCTGCACAGCCTCTCCTGTAGCTACAGCCCCTTCTCATCACCCTCCCCACTCAACCAAATGACCCTGTTTCTCCTTCAGCTCTCAGCCAGTCAGCTCCTCCAGGACGCCCTCCTCACTCTCTGCAAAGTCCTCTACCCTCTATTCTCTCACCAGACACTTAGCCTGAAGTTGCCCTCTGACTTGCTAAGCCCCCAACTGCAATCCCCTGACACTGGGGGTGCTTGGTCAGCCCTAGCAGAGGGCCTCAAAAAATGCTTGTTGATGGACTGATTGTCCTCAGTCTAACTGACTGTTGCCTGAACGTCTTGATTGTCCTCAGTCTAACTGACTGTTGCCTGAACGTCTTGCCGCCTGACTTTCCTTCTCTCTAGCAGCCACAGCTTAGGGTAAGCTGCAGTGAGGTTCCTGCAGAGAGGATGGGGCAAGAAGCCCAGCAGAAAGGAGAGCATGAACCCCCAACCCGAGACTCACCCCTTTTCTTTCAAATTAGGAATCAAAAAATAACCAGGGCCTTGCGGTGATCGGCCCTCGGTGCCCAGGTCCTGACATCCATGCAGGCAGCTCAGCTGAACTCTCCCCTGCCTTAGACCACTCCTCCTTTCCTCCTCCCCTCTTCTCTCTACTCTTCTTTGTCCCCTCCCTTCCAGCCCCTCTGGCCCTGCCCCAGAGCAGCAGAACACCCAGCTGACAGCTGGACATGCCAGTCCCCACCAGCCCTTCCCCAGAGGGTCAGGTGACCCTTCCCTCCCCAGGTCACGTCAGCCCGGCCCTCCCGGACAGACCTCGCGCACCAGGGCTCTGGTGGACAGTGAATGCTCCACGCTGGGATGGGCTGTTGCCTGATGCCTGTACATGGTGGGCACTGAGAGACAAGATTCCTGGGCCCTGCCTTCCACACACTCCCTACCATCTCAGAGGAAGCTCTGGTGAGTGCCGCCTTGTGGGCAGGGACGGGCAGGGCCAGCCTTGCTGAGCCTTTGACGGGGCCTGACTGAGGGGAGAGAGGGTCTTGTGTCCACAGGGCCTGTCTATACCCTGGGGTCTCATCTCCATTCCAGGCTGGTCAGGAGTCTGCCCCACGGAGGTGCCAGCGTCTTCGTGGAGGTCTGTCCATCTGTGTGTGGCGGGGGTGGGGTAGAGTGTTGGGACAGGTCAGTGCGTATAGGAATTCTGGCATCTGCTCCTCTTTCATCCCTCTCCCTTCTCCCAGGGGAATTCCACCCCCCCCCCTTCCAGGGGTGCCTGGAGTCCTCTCACTTCAGGGTGGACTGGGACTGCAGAGGAAGCTGGGGGGAGGGGCAAGTACAGGGGGCTGCGTTAACCCTTAACAGAGGCAGGTGTCCAAGAAACGTGGGCAGCAGCATCTCCTGGGCCCAGGAACGGCATGTCCTAGCCCAGCAGCCCCAGCTTTCCACGGGAGGGGGCAGGAGGCTGGCACAAGGTTGGATGACGTCAACGTCTACAGCAGCTGCCTGGGGCCTGGTGCAGGGTGGTGGTAGACCATGGGATGGGGGTCATGGGGGTCGGAGGCATGTCTCCACTAAGCGGTGGTCCCTGATGCCCTGGGCAGTGGTGGAGTCTTGGCCCCCACCCATGACTCTTCTAGGCACCCTAGTGAACCTGAGAACTGAGCTTGCCTTGGGGGCCTTGGGGTCCCTGGGGGCCTTAAACCCCCCATGCCAGGCCTCTTCCCCAGAAATTCTGATCCCATGGGGAGGGACTCAGGCTTCTACACTTTTTAAAAGCTACCCATTTATTTTTTATCCTTTTATTACGAAAAACTTCAAGCATACAGAAAAAAATAGAGGGAATGATCTCATGAACACCTGTACATCCCGCGCCTGATTTCAGCAGCGGCCCGAGTTTTGTCGTATTTGTTTCATCAAATACGCTACAGCTAGAGTGTCCTGACATCACAGCATGCCTCTCCCCCGTCACAGAGTCCCTCAGTACGTCCTCACATAACCCACTGTCCACTCACAAATGAGCAACTACCCATGAGTGTCTGCGTCCTGTCCGCGGTCTCCTTTCCCCAGCTGGCCCCAAATGTCTGTTAGTGTTTTGTTAGAAGAGGATCCAGTCAAAAGGCACTGGGTCAGCAGGTCTCTTAAATCTCTTTCAATTAGGAAGAGCCTCTGCCAACCTCCCGACCACCCACCATGGGTGATTTTTTCCCCACCACTTTGCCTTGCTGAATCGAAGGGGTGGGGGGTGTCCCAAAGGAGGGTAAGAACATGGCAGAGTCAGACAGCTCTCAGTACAGATAGGGAAGCTGAGGCCCAGAGAGGCAGGCACAGGGAGCCTGAGGCAGAACCAGGTCTCCTGTCCCCTCCTGGGCCACTTCCCTGCATCCCTGCCCCTCAGTGCTCCTGTGGCCTCTGGGGCCCTTCCCGTCTTCGCCCTGCTGCTTCTGGGGGTCACAGGCCAGGCCAAGCCCACCCCCTGGACAGCAGCATCTCCTGCTTTCTCCTGCCCTCCACAGAGCACTGAATAAATCCTTCCCAGGCAGAAACCCTGATGGTTGCTATCTTATTCACCAGCAGCCACAGGGAACAGCAATAAACTTTATGAGCATCAGGTCCTTCAGGGAAGGAAGCCTGCGCACTGGCTGGGGAGGTGAGGGGTGGGAGCGGGAGCAGGAGGGGCGTGCTTGCCCGCGGGCTGCAGTTGCAATGAGTTACCTCAATACTAGTTACTGCAACTCATCCAGGGCTGGGAGGCCCAGCTGGCAGCTGAGAGGGCTCACCCACCCACTAGGGTGCCACAGCCTGGGTGGGATGGACAAATGGGGTGGAGATTGCTGGAGATCCTGTCCTGCTCTGCCCAGATGGGCTCTCAAGTGTCCCACCGCCCCCAGCCCATTCCCACCCCCTCCCCCTCAGCCCCTGACCCTGGTTAAGCAGCGGAAGGGGAGGGCAAGAGGAGATGTTGTTATAGAACGTTATGGGGAGAATCCAACCTCAATGATGGCTTCTGAGCTTTTCAAAAACCCCCTGCCTGGTGGAGGCAGAACTTCAGCTGCCGTTGGGGCTCTCTGGGACAGGTCTGGGCAAAGCCAGGCAAACCTAGGGCAGTTCCAAGAATGTGTCCCCCAGTCGCTGGGCGAGGAGGTGGGTGCTGGCTTTAGTTTTCTGTTAATCCCTCTCAGGCATTTGGAGCCTCAGCGTGTGTGCCGCTGCCCTCTGCTGGGGAAAGACCTTGCCTGCATTCTCCCTCAGCCACACACTCCCAAACACGCACAAGCATTCACACGCACTCACACAAACATGCAAACACACACACGCACACACACTCCGTCCCATTATTGTGTTTTGACCTTAAAGAGCTGTTCCATCTTGCAACCATAAAACCGCCATGCTAACCGCTGGCAACACCTTGCGTCTGTGGCTTATAGGCCTCTTGCACAAGACAGGTGGTGGCTGGTCATATTACTTAGAGGAAGGCGGCAGGTGTGGGGCAGGGTGTTGGAGGCTGGGAAATGTGTAGGCAGGTCTGGGTGTTTGGCAACATCCAAGATCCTGGGTGCAGCTTCAAGAGGCAAAGTCCAGAGGAGAAAAGCATGCCTGGGAGGGGCTGTCAGAGCAGTTGCTAACCATGGCTGAGGAGCTGCGTGTCCAGGGGTCAGGATCTATTAGGGGACCAAGAGGGAGAAGCCCTCGCAGCCTCTGCCTTCCCAGAGCAGCCCTTCCAGTGGCACTCGACTTCGTGAGTCATCTTTCCCCCATATTTCTCCCACCTTGACAGCAAGATCAGAACATTGTTGGTGCTGCTAAGTACATTTGTCAGTGGCTGAAGGGCTTCTAAACTAATAATCGCTGTATTAAAATCGTATTTGGTCCTCAAGCTGGAGAAACATTGTGAGATTTTAAATGTTAAGAAAAAAGAAGAAAAAGAACCCCTCTCAAAGGATAAAATCAGCCCCGAAATAAGTTTCTATGACTGAGGAATATGAAGTATTGTTCTGTGATTCTAGAAATCAAGCCTTCCCCGGGAAACAGATGCTCTCCTAAGCCACATATTTCAGCCATGGCTGGGAAAGTGATGTGTGAAGTCCCCCAGCACCAGGTATTGATCCCACCGAGCCGGGGAGCCACACGGACGGAGGGCGCACCATCCTACAGCCCTTGAGTCATTTTTAGAATGGATTTTAAAACTCCATTTTTCCCCCTGGAAAATAAGCTTGTACCTTCCAACCTGGATGGCCCCAAATGATGCACGACCCCTCAGCCATGTGAGAAACTCCAAATTTCTCCTGCCCATTACAACCTAAGCGGTTTTAAATGGTTTTTGGGTCCTCTCATCTCTAATAGATTAAAAAATGCTCCCTTGGGCATCGCGAAGACATTGAATGGTACTTGTACCAAACCTCTGGCTCCGAGAGGCCTGTGAAATGTAAGTTAGAGCTTCAGAGGTGAGAGGGCAGGCCATAAACCATGCTGCTTTGCCGCCTGCCACATTTTATATTATAGTTTTCTTTTGCTACAAGCTGTTTCTTAATTATCTTCTACCCAGAAAGCCCTCTCTCCACCACATGGCTAAGATTTATCGGGACGTGGTCCCAAAGGCTTCAGCACCCTGATGATCTCAGGAGACCACCTCCCTGCACTGAGCTAGGGCCCAGGCCAACATCTCCTCTGGTTGGCCAGGCTAGGCTCACTCTCCGTCCCCCTCCATTGCCGGCTGCCTCTGCAGGCGCCCTGGTGCTGCAGCACTGGCAAGGCCAGCCCAGCACTCCCGCATCCTCCTCCTCCACACAACCCTCCCCTCCAGCCATCGCCTCCCACCCTGTCCTTGACCTTCCCTATTGCTCCTTGTACACACGCTCCCCGAAGCAGGCCCTCCCCCAAGCTCCCCAAGGCTGAGCCAACATCTCCCCTCCTCCTGGACTCCTTCTCAGACCCCTCAAACCACCCTGATCTCAGCCAGGAGCAATACCTCTCCTAACCTCTTCTCTAGGACCCATTTGTCAACATAGTTTTTTCCCTACCAGTCCCTATGCAATCCTCATTACACTCTTAGGATCTGTTGATTGAGAAAAAGAGATGATGACAAAAACTACCAGGAATTCAATAATGCCTTTAAATGAATTTGTATTTTGTTAATTACCAACACATTTACATACATTTGAGAATTATCGTGCCTCTAGGGGATTACTTTCCTACTCTGCAGACTGTGGTGGTGAGGATTTGGGTAAGGTCTTGGTGGGCCCCCGGGTGACAGCCCTCACCCAGGGCCCTAAGAATCCACACTGCTAAGCACTTCGTTAGGCACTGCCACCAGCAGCAGGATGCCCCTGGGTGTGCGCTCTTGCTGCCCAACCAGGTGCAGCTTCTGAAAGTCTCCCTATCCTGACACAGGTTACTGAGACAAACGGCATAAAGAGGGCCCCAGACATCACCCTGGCCCTAAGAGCCTGAGTTGGGTCTCTGAGACTCTCAGAGACAGCCAGAGCAACTCAGCAGCCACTCCCCATCCAAGGGGACTGCACATGGTCAGAATGGGCATCGACTTTAGAATGAGAAAGACTCGTCATGGCCGAGTCCCAGGACTAGTGCCTGCTAGCTGTGGACCCCAGGAAAATTCTGCAACCATTC